TTTTTTTTTGCGGTACTGGGGATGGAACTCAAGACTGTGCTTGCCAGATAGGTGCTTATTCTATTGAGCTATCTCCCCTGTAAGAAATAATTTCTATCTAATCAGATTTTAAAAAATTTCTTCAACATATTTATAATAGCTGGCATGAAGCCTGTTCTTGTTAATTCCAACAGCAGGGCCCACTGAGAGATTTCATTGAGAGTTTCTCCTTTGTCTCCCTCATCACTGCCTCACATGCATAGACCATATATTCATGGGTATTGGTTGAAAACTGAACTTTTTAGATAATATTGTGGTTACTCTGGTTCTTTATTTTATTTTTTTCCCTGTATTTTAGGACAGGGTCTACAGGGTCTACAGTGTTTACAGGGTCTCACTATGTAGATCAGACTCATAATGATTCTCCTGTTTTCAGCCTCCCAAGTGCTGGGATTACAAGCATGTGCCACCATACCCAATCTCAACTGCCCTCTCAGCAAGCCCCATGTGGGCAGGGCTGACTCAGCATGCCAGGGTTCGAACCCCAGCTGCTGTGGTCTGCCTAACCAGGCACTTTGGTCCACTGAGCTATTAGGCTGGCCCCTACTCTGAGATTTGATTTGTCCTTTTGATATATCTATATATATTTTTGGTGGTAGCAGGGATTAACTCAGGACCTCGCACTTGCCAGGCAAGCACTTATTCCATTGAACTATCTCCCCAGCCCCAGACTTGTTCTTTTGAAGATGACGATGATGACAATGATGATTTTTGGTCAAGTAGGCAATTACCTTGTTTGGATCAGAATCCAGAAATCTGTTCCTCCTCTAACATGCAGCAGCTAGGCCCCTAGAGAATGCTTCTGTGCCCAAACAATCGACAATCGGTCCAGATTTGGGAAGAAGTAGGGCTCACTTTCTTTGTGGCTTCCTTGCTGCTACAGAGTCCCTGCTAATTTCCAGCTCTGGGAGACAACCCTCTGACACTTCAGAGAGTAATTCTTCAGTTTCCTGTTGTTCAACTTGATATACAAGACTCAAATGTCTAGTTCCAAATATACATGTGTCTTTATAGAGTAAATTTTCTCAGATCTCTACATGATTCTTCATTGAGTTTTGTGGGGTTGTTCCTATACCCCATGTGGGTTATTTGACTGTCAGGTACAGGTCCAGTAAAATTTTATATTTAGAAGTCTCATTTTTTAAATGTGGTTCTCTTATTGCCAGTATTTTTCATTAGATTTTAATTGCTTTCTTAGACAAACTGTGATCATGAGGATCTTATGCCCATTTACAGCTACTGTTTTCTGAAGCCGTAAGTTGTGAGGACTGGAAGAATAATCAGGTCAGTTTTTGCCTAACAATTCTTATCTCTTTTCTGGTTTGAATGCTTTCAGTGTAGAAAAAATTATCCAGTTTTTAGAATTGTTTTCTATGGGAGGGTTCTTGTAATCTCTTCAAAAAGTTTCACTATTGGAGATCTGTACTTAAGTTTTTAGAGATCAGGAAATGAAGATTAAAAAGTTACAGAGCCAGTAAGTGCTTAGGAGTGATAACACTTTATTGAACTAGGTTAAAGTGGATGGAACTATAAGATTTCCTACTAAGTTGTTTCCAGTATTATATACCTTAAATTACTACTTCCATATTTTATATTTAAGGATGAATAAAATATCTTCTAATAACCTTCAGCACTTACATCAAAATAATCATAGAAAATTAAGCCACAAACATCCCATTATTTTCAAAATAGAAAGTACCTTCTTTAGTGTTTGCTTCTGAAGACCTTCAGTCACTTTTGTTAACTCTTCTACTTTTGCTACTGCAACTCTCAGATCTGACTTGGCTTGTCTAAAAAAAAAGATAAGTTAATGAACACTGTTCTCAAAAGCCATAAAAAATAAAAATCAGAAATCCAAATTTAATAAATCATTATTCAAATGCACCTAAAATTGGTTTTAAAATTCTGAAATGTTTATTGTTAACAAAAGGTATGTTAAAAAGAGTAAAGAAGAAAAAAATACAGCCAATATTTATTATTAACATTTGTTGGATAAATTATTTTAAGTGCTTATCAGTCCAGTTATTTAAATATAGGGTGACCAAACATTGCATATTTGTTGTTAATTTTTATAAGATAGCAGGAAATATAAAAATGAAAATTGGATCAAACTTATTCAGTAATTTTTCTACATATGGCATATCTTAAAAATTATCAATACCAAATGTAATGTTATAATCTGTACAGCAGTATCTAGTCTCTTCGTGGATTCTTTGTGTATTATTATCTTCCTTTGAACAATATAATTTACAGAATCACATTGGCCTTCATTTTTCCTGTGGGTGGAGTAATTTCAATAAAATGTCTACCCACTAAAGGTAATGGAAAAGATGTCAATAATGGATATCCTGGTTGGCA